AGCAGAGGGTGTGGGGGTGTGAGCACTGACTGAGGGGCAGGGAAAAGCAGGACCCCGAGTGGGAGGGCAGCCCCTGGGATGGGAGGCGTTCAGCTCTTCCAGTCTTGGCAGATGTGGAGGCTCCACTCCCAGGACAGGTGGTCTGTCCTGTCGTCATCCGTGAAGAAGGACGTGACCACATAAGCACCCCGCACCAACACTCCTCGAGGCACTTCCTCCACCGGAGTCACAAACTCATACTCCTGGGCGCTCGGGCCGTAACTGCCCACCATGTACACGGCCTTGTCCACTGGGGGAGGGGGAGGCTGTCAGGGGCCACCCTCTGCCCCACCCGACCCTCCCCACAGCCCCGCCCCCACCCCTGGGCCAGCCCCGCCTTGCCGCCCTCACCACGCAGGCCCTGGCGGTAGGTGTGATGCAGACACTTGAGGCCACTGACGATCTCCTTATTGACCTGGGGGATAGAGGGTGTTAAGAGCCCCTCCGGGGGGCTGACCTTGAGCTGGCAGGCGTCCCCCATGACAGCTACCCTCACCTTGAAGGTAATCTTCACTTTGTAATCAACACCCTCCTTCAGGACAAACACCTGGTTTTTCAGCGCGGCCAGCTCCCCTGTTAGGGAAAGTGCAGCTAGGGAATAACCTCCTGGGATAGCGCAGACCCTGCCCCAAGAGCCCCAAGGGGGGCAGTACCTGTGAGGTCCATGGTGATGGGCCCCGGAGCCTGCTCAGACATCAACGTCAGCCTGGTCACCTGCACATTGGGTAGGCTCAGGTCTGGGGAAAAACCGGAAGTCACCAGAGTGCCCACCCCAGCCTTCGCCCCTCCCCTCCCCTCCCTTCCCCTCCCTTCCCCTCCCAGCCCAGGGCTGTGCGTACCCGTGACGGGTGGCAGGGGCCCCAGCAGTGCCTGCTTGTACTTGGCCAGGCTCTCATCATCCGGGTCCAGCTGCTGGATCTCCTGGAGGCTCTTCCTCCCTGGGGCCCGGTACTCAGGCACAGCCTCATCCAGTGCCTCATCAGGGGGCAGCTGTCTCCCCTCCTTGTCAGTCAGGAGGACTGGGGGTTGGGGAGGTGCGTGAGTCGCTGCCCCCAGCGGACCCTGGCGTTCACTCATCAAACTGGAGGCCCCCCATCTGGCCAGCTGTGCCGCTCACAGCCCAGGCCCACAGGAACTCAGAGGAAGCAATGGAGGCTCAGGGAGAGAGGTGGGGGGTTAGGGAAGGGGATGTGCGCTCAGAGAGGGAGGGCTGCATGGGGGCTCAGGGAGAGGGGTGGGCTGGGAAGAGACTGAGCAGCACCCACACCCGAACCCTTTAGGAAGGGCCCTGGGGGTTGGAGAAGGCTCCTGAGAGATGGAGCCAAGTGACATCCCCGAGGCACCAGCTGCCTTCTCTGGCCCAGCCATCCATCTAGGGCTCCTCCCTGACTCTGAGGCCAAAGATGGGGGAGGCACGGGGGCAGACCCTAAAAGGGGGATAGCCCCAAGGACTGGAGGCCACTACTGTGGACCGCTGACCTCTGGGGTCTTCCCTAGAACAGAGGCTCTGCCCACCACATCTCTTCACGGCTCTGTGTACCTTCCCGCTATCCTAGGGGTTCTTGCCGGGGGTGCTCCTGGGTCGTAGAGGCGGTTCTCTCTAAACCCCTCAGCTTATGCTCTGGGGCTACCTCCCTGGGCGCCTTCAGACTCAGTCTCCTAGAGCCCCTTCCCATGATTCCCTGTGGCAGGGGTCTCTAAGCCCCTTCCCATAGTGTTTTGGGACAGGGTCTTTCCCACTGTGCGCCAGGCTTCTCAGGGATCACCACACGCCCTGAAAGAGCCCCAGCCCCACCCAAGGGAGAGGGGATCTCAGGGGCAGGTTCCCAAGGGGAGAGGGTCCCCCTGCAACCCTGGCTTCACAAACAGACGCGCCCACTCTTGGCTCCTTTGCCCCTGAGTGTCTGGCCTGGACGAAGCCCCCCGCCCCCGCCAGATCCCAGTAGGGGGACCGCGCCAGGATTTCCCCACGCGCGCCCCCAAAGTTTCCGCAGGGGAGGCCCAGCCCCCGCCCTAGGCTGAAGCCTCCCCAACCCCCCACCCCCCACCCTCCCCGTCCCAGACCCCCGCCCACGTGGCCACCCTGGCCCCAGCCCAGCCTGCTCACCTCGGGCGCACAGCGCCAGCCGGAGCAGCTCCAGCAGCTGCGCCCCCAGCTCACATGCGTCCAGGCCCAGCATGGTGGCCCGCGGCCCGGCTCCGCCGCGGAGCCGCCGAGGAGCCGCCGCCCGCCCCGCCGCCGCCCGGCTCGGCGCTCAGCCCCGGCGCGACTGCGGTGAGCTCATCCCGGCCGGGAGCGCCCCCCGCGCCCAGCGCCGCGCCCGCGCCGCGCGCCCCCAGCCGCTCCGCGGACCCCGCGCAGCCCCGCAGAGACGCGCGTGTCGCCCGCACGGCGCCGGCACCTGGTCGTCCCCGCCGCGGGCGCCCAGAAGCCCGCACAGCCGCCGCGGCGACGGTCCCAGCCGCCGGCCCAGGCTACACCCCGCTCTGTCCATCAGAGCGGCCCCGCCCCCATGGCGTCCGTGAGAGTCTGGGGGATTCTCCGGGGAAGCCCTCTGGGAGGGGCGGGTGGGGCTGGGGGCGCCCAGTGGAGCAGGTGCTCCCCGCCTCCCCCAGGCCCCTAGGCTCTCATTACCTGCAGGCGGTACAGGCCGCACCTGGGGCTCGACAGGTTCCCCTCCCTTCCCCACCCCCACCGGATCTTCTGTCTGGGCAGTGGGGACTCCTGGAGTCTGCCCAGCCTTGGGAGCTGCGGGATGCGGATGGGGGTGCGTGTCTGCGCAGCCTTGTGGCTCCACATCCCAGAGGCGTTAGCACAGAGAGACCTGTGTCCACATCACCCAGAGACAAGGGTCCCACCCTCCTAGTGAGATGCAACATGGAGTCAGTCACACAGCCATTACTCTAATGTTTATGGACTGGGCTGCGAGAGTGTGCTGCAGGTCTCTGGGCTGTGTGCACCCAGACCATAATGAAGCACCCTGTCCTTGAGGAGGAAAGGACACTGATCCGAAGCAGAATCCTGGTGGTGGAGGGCTGAGAGAGGGGCACAAAAGGGGCTTCTGGTCTTGATGCCTAAACAAACCTTGGGGTGGGCAGATGGGGGCAGCCAGTGCAGGGAACAGGGGTGAGCTGCAAGTCAGGCTGGGGAGCGCCAGATCAAGGGTCTGAGTGGAGGAGGTAGAACACCAGCCCAAGTCCCTCTTTCTTCCGTATACCCCTTCTGCCCCCCCCAATTTCCAAGGACACCCAGGCTTCATACCTACCTTTGCATAAAACAAGAGGGAGACCCTGGTTTCACAAACAGACCCCCGTCCACTCTTGGCTCCTTTGCCCCTGAGTATCTAGCATAGACAAAGCCTCCCTACCCCTACCAGAGCCCAGTCAGGGGACTGTGTTATGATTCCCCCACCTGTACCTCCAAAATTTCTGCAGAGGAGGGCCATGGGTGCTAGGGGACACATGGGCTTGGTGTCCATCCTCCTTGGAGTTCCACCTGTCCACAATGTTTCCAAGGCAGGATTCCCTCATTTCTGCTGCCCTTTCCCTGGGGGTGGGGATGGGGGGTAGTTGGTCCAGAAGCCACTTGTTGAGGCTGGGGACAGCTAAGGCCTCTGGTGGCCCTCAGCTTCTGTAGATACCCACCCATCCAGAAAGGACTGTCAGGACCAGCCTGACCCCACCTGTGTGGGTGGGGATGGTTGCGAATTCACTGGGATCTAAGGGAGGATGGTACCCTGGTAGAAGTAGCCCCCAATCCGGTCCCCCTGCCCCAGCTCATCTTGGACCTGGCCTTGTCAGCAGTAGAAATGGATCAGTCTAAGGCTGTAGGCCAAGGGCCAACCCCATCTATCCTGCCCTGTCCCCAGCACGCCCAAAGGGAGGAGAGGGACTCTATCTCCAAAAAAGCAGAAATAGACCTATTTGAACTTCTTAAAGTTCAGTTGGTGAAGCGTCTGCCTTCGACTCAGGTCATGATCTCGGGGTCCTGGAATCAAGTCCCGCATGTTTGGGCCCCCTCTCAGCGGGGGGTCTCCTTCTCCCTGTCCTCCGTCCTGGCTCATGCTCTCTCTCGCTCTCTCTCAAATAAATAAAATCTTAAAAAAAAAAAAAAAAGTCCAGCAACAGGGCTGTGGGGTGGTAGTAACCAAGCTGCTGGAGCAGGGAGAGAAAGGGCCAGGACAGGGCCCGGAGCCTAGAGGAGGCAGGTGCACCATGAGTGTGTCTGGAGGTGGCGGCTGGGGGGTGGGTGCTGAGATCCTCTCTCTCCATAATGCTCCTCTCCCACAGTCTCAGATGTCCTGCATCTGTGGAGTCTCTGCCTGTTCCCCAACTGGTCCTGCCCAGGTGTCCGTGCAGCTGGGGGAAGTGAGCTTTCTGCCATCCCCCCAGGCCTCGATGAACCTGCACAGCCCTCCAGTGTCACACCAGCCTGCAGGCGCTGACACGGTGTGATGTCCGGCATCCCAAACACAAACACACTCCTGGGGCACACAAACCCGCGTCCTGACTGCACAGCCCCCTCCACCACGAGTGTGGCCGCATCCCGAGGAGGCCACACAGGGGCTGGCTGTGCGAGGCAGGTACTACCGTAGACCTTAAACTGGTGTCCCCCTCCCCACCCCACCTTCCCCACAAGGAACCTCTCCTAGAGACCCTCCTCTCCCTGAGCCCCCCCACCTGTCCCAGCTGAGCTGCGATTCCCCCACACCAACCAGGGGCGGGGCCCCTCCCACGGGCACGGGTCTCAGTTTCTCCTGACGCGGGGGGAGACTCCTCCCGACTCCAGACCCCAGACTGTGCGGGCGCTGAGGCTAACGCGGCCGGGGGCCGGCGGGGCTGCGGAGCCGAGCTAGCCTGGCGAGCTGGGCGGGGCGTGCGGGCCGGGGGCGGGGCGTGCGGGCCGGGGGCGGCTCCACACCCACGCGCCATCTGGCCTCACCGCCGCCATGGCCGGCGGACACCCGGGTGCGCAGATGCCGCATCTCAGCAAGGTGGGTGCCGGGTGGGGGTCCCGCCATCCCCCGCCCCCGGATTTCCCGGCATGTGAGACCGGGAGCGGCAGGAGAGGGGTGGGTGCGGGTGCGCACGAGTGTGGACGCGGGTCTGGGGGCGATGGCACTGTGTGAGACGGGGCGAGGCGGCGGAGGCCGGGCCTGGGGGGGGGAGGGGAGCGGCCCTCGCCTCCGCCCCTCCCCCTCCCCCGCTCCTCCGAGGCCCGCCGCGGCCCCAAATCCCACCATCATACGCGTTAATCTTCTCTGAGCTCACCGATCCCGGGCATCCCGGCCAGTTGCGGGGAATCAGGATGTGGGGGTGGGGGGAGGCCGGCCGGAACAGCCCCTCAAGGCCACCCTTCGCCCAGATGGAGCGGGTGGTCGTGAGCATGCAGGACCCCGACCAGGGCGTGGAGATGCGGAACCAGCGCTTGCGCATCACCGTCATTCCCCACACCGTGGCTGGTGAGGCGCCGCCGGGTCCGGGGTTGGTGGCGGCCCTGCCTCGCCTACCCCTGCCCCATGCCAGTCTCTGGTGTGCAGGCAGCGACGTCGTGGACTGGTTGGTCCAGAAGTACTGCATCTCAGAGGAGGGTAAGGGGGTTATCCTGCCCCCTGCCCTCTGCCCCGGGGGTCGCTGTGCTGATGGCCAAGGCTGGGCCTGCTCAGGGCTCACAGGTGTTAAGGCTGAGCCAAGTGCGCTGGGGAGGGAGAGCTCCCAAATCGCTTCTCCCAGGCTGAGCGCTCGCCACCCTGCCCCTCCCCCCAGAGGCCCTGCACCTGGGCACCCTCCTGGTGCTGCACGGCTACCTATACCCTCTGCGCAGCCCCCGCAGCCTTGTGCTCCGGCCAGACGACACACCCTACAGATTCCAGGTCAGGTGCAACTGGGAGCAGGTGGGAACCCCAAGCCAGCAGCCCCACTAGAGGGGACTTGTGGAAGGGGGGAGACTGCGTTTGGAGTAGGAAGTGGTGATGTCATCACAGGCCTGGATCCACTGCCCCTCCCCGAAAGGCCTGGACTATGAGTGTCCTGTGGTAGAAAGACCCGATTAAGAGGAGAGACCTTTAGTTTCTCTGAGGCCACAACAGGGCTCCCACAAAGGGTATAGGACCTGTGGAGGATTCTGATGGTTTCCGTGAGGGTCCTTAAGCCCCCGCTCATGAAGAAGTTCGTGTGGTACCGGAGGACAGGATCCTGGCATCTCGCTGTGTATCCCCAATCACGGTGGAGCTCCCCTGCCTGGCCTCCGTGGCTACAACAGGGACCCAGGCAGGGTTTGCTCTCAGTCCTCAGCACAGACTGAGTACATGCATGACTTGGGCAGGCCCCACCCCACCCCACCTGGCAGTAGGGACTCAGGGAGCCCGGTCAAGGAGGCAGTGCCTGCACTGGGCCCCAGGGGGTGAGCGGAACTCAGTTCTAGGTGGGGGAGAATGGCCAGTGGTCTGTGAATCTCCAGGCTGTGGGCAGACAGGCAGGTTCTGAGGCACCGCCTGGCCAGCCCACCCTCTTCCCAAGGGACCTGGGAAGGTGGACAACTCCTGGGGTGGGGAAGGCCCAGGAGGTCCCGGACACCCTGTCCCTGCACCATACCAGACGCCCTATTTCTGGACGAGCACCCTGTGGCCAGCTGCTGAGCTGGACTATGGTGAGTGAGGAGGAGTGAGTTCTAACCCGGGACAAGTTCCTAGCACTGTTGCCCTCCCACCCAAGTGATGCCACAAGGGTCGAGGGGCAGAGATTTCTCCTCTGCAGCCTGGCCCCCTGTCCTTCCAGCCATCTACCTGACGAAGAAGAACATCCGAAAGCAGGGGGCCCTGGTCGGCCATGAGAAGGTGGGGACCCCCCCACCCCCCGGATCCAAGCCCTGCTCTTGGCCTCTTGGCTCTGGGACCTCACAGTTTGCCCTGGAGCACACAGCCTAGGCCCCAGGAGAGTGCAGATACACAAACACATCATCCCTATGTGTCTCAGTGGGGAGGTGGTTGGTCTGCACCCCCAAGCTGGACACGGGGGTGGGGGTTACCCAGTGGAGACCTCGACATCCCCCAGGAACACTATGACCAGCTACACAGGAAGATCAGCCACACGTGGGACCTGGTGGTGATGCAGGCCCGAGAGCAACTACGGTAAGATCTTGTCCTGCTCACTCCGAGTGGGCGCTGCCCGGGAGGCCCAGGAGTGCCACACCAGGCACTGTGGGGCCAGAGATACCATTGCCCAGGCTTGGCTGCCCACCAGGCTCTGGCCTGAGGGTGGGGAGGGGGTGGGGAGGTGCTACTGTGGGCGCCATGTCCCCCCCAACTCCACCCCCCACCAGGGCAGCTAAGCAGCGCAGGAAGGGGGACAGGCTGGTCATTGCATGTCAGGAACAGACGTACTGGCTGGTGAACAGGCCCCCGGTAAGCCCCCTTGTGTGTGGGGAGAGGGCGGTGCGGTTCCTTGTTCAGCAGTGGGGTCTTGCTGGGAGTCCGTGTGCCTCCCTCAAATGCTCTCTCTGGACCTACATTTTGAGCCTGTGGTAAGGATGGGTCTTTTGGGGTCCCAGCAGGAAGTTCTAGTTCTGGGACCCATCAGAACCCAGAGATCTCAGGGCCAGTCCACACAGCACAACAAACCAGTTTCTTTGAGGTCTAAGGGAGGAGGCAAAGTGGAGCCAGGCTTATCCACAGCATCGAGGGACTGGGGTCACAGGCCAAGAACTTCTGGGGGCACTGGCCTGGAGTTAGGCCTTACCCAGAGCCATGGTCTGGGCAGGTGGTTTGCAGTCCCTCTGCTGTGTGGGGCTGTGGAGCCCATCAGATCTACCATGAGTGGGGGTTCCTGTGGGAAAAACCTGTGAAAAAAGCAGAGCGAGCCACCCACAGGTCCAGCACCTCATCCGGGGTATGTGTGTGGGTGGGGGGGAGGGCTGTCTCTGGGAAAATGATGGCTCATCTTGCACCCGAGGGCCAGGTGGGTGGGTGGGGGGAGGAAGGTGGGGTGGACGTGGCCCCGAGGGTGTGTATGTGGGCTGAGGGCAGGGCCATGCAGGGCGAGGGTCCAAGTGGAGGGGACGCTGGGAATGGCAGCTGGAGCTTCTGGGGGAGCGGGCATAAGGGCTGCGCCGTGGGCCGCGGTGAGGAAGAGGCCAGACCAGCATGCGTATTTGAGGACGGGGCGGCAAGATGTGTGACAAGTGACCGTTTCAAGACGGGTGGTGAGAGGGGTGCCTGGCCGGCGCAGTTAGTGGAGTCAACTCTCAGTCTCGGGGCTGTGAGTTTGAGCCCCACTGGGCATACAGCCTGCTTTAAACAAAAAAGAAGGGTGGTGAGGGTTGTGGTGTGAGCAGTCAGGAGCCCAGCGGGGAGGTGAGCTCGCCTGAGGTGAGGTCCCCGCGGGGGTGGGACAGGTAGAGAGGAGGCTCAGCCTCTGCAGTTCCTGCGAATGTCAGTCTCCATGTTACAGGATGACGTGCGGGTGCAGAGCTTCAGTTTATGGAGGCGGGTGGGGGGCAGCAACACAAGGCTGGGTTGGGTCTCAGCGGCCCACCTGGGTTGTACCCCCACCTCATCTCGGCCTTCCATCTGCAGCCAGGTGTCCCCAGCGTCCTGGAGCAGGGTCCAGAGCGCAGTTCCTGCACGGCCGGGCGAGTGCAGATGGTGAGGGCCCTGCACACATGCCCCCAGGCCACTCCCCACCACCCTTGCATACATGTCTCCCCACCCCAGCGTGGGGGCTGCCCATCCATCCGTCCGTCCGTCCGTCCATCCATCCATCCATCCATCCATCCATCCATCCATCCAAATGGCTGGGGACCCTGACACCAAGAGGCCCTGCTCTGCTCCCGGCATCACTCGCCCCTGCCTACGCCCCCACTCCCAGGCCTCTGCTAACTCTCACCTCTTGTCTCCCCAACCTGCTACACTGGGTGCAAGTAAGTGTGATGGGGCTCTGGGAAGGGTGGGAGCTCTTGCCCAGGCTGGGACAGCCCCAGGGTTCAGGGCAGTTGGAGATGTGCCCAGCAGAGCCATGGGCCTGAGAGGCCTGGGCTGAGCCAGCTACCTCCCTCCAAGGCCTCTGGTGGCCGCTGGATGGACATGTCCAGACCTGGTTGCAGCTGAGCTCTCTGTTCCAATCCCACAAAACCCAAAATATACAATATCTACTGTCTTCCAGGTAAAACTTGTTTCTGACTTTTAAGTTGTAGCTCATGATTACAGGTTTGTAATTTTCTCATTATAAGGACGGCCAAAGAGAGCCAAGACCAACATTGGAGATCCCAGGCATCCTGAGCAATTTGTGGGTGTTGGGAAGGGTCAGGCCGTCCACCTGGCCCTGAGGATGTGGCAGGCACGCACTGAGCTCTGAATAGGATGGGCTAACCTTGAGCACAAGTTAGCAAGACTCAGTCCCCCACGGTGATCCTGTGGCCGTATCTCTCATGTATCTGCTGGTTGTTGTTGTTGTTGTTTAGATTTTATTTATTTATTTGAGAGAGGGAATGAGAGAGAGAGAGAGCATGAGAGTGGGGAGGGTCACAGGGAGAAGCAGACTCCCTGCTGAGCAGGGAGCCCGACATGGGACTCGATCCTGGGACTCCAGGATCCTGACCTGAGCCGAAGGCAGTCAACCAACTGAGCCACCCAGGCGTTCTATCTGCTGTTTTTTTTTAAAATGACCTAAATACATTTGAAAATGTGAAATAGGGACAATTGGGGAACTGTAAGGTAACTTTGACAGCATGTAGGCTCCATGGAACATTTTGGAAACCTCTGGACTAGAGGCCTCCAGATGCTTTTTGGAAAGCCAGACACCTCCGTTAGAGGAGGGGGCTTCAAGGGGCAAGGCGGGGGGCCTGAGCCGTTCTCCACCAGCCGAAGGATGGACTCATGAGCCCAGGGTGGGTGGTCAGTCCCCACTGGGCCTGCCTTCTAACTGCAGCCCATTCCACCCCTTTCAGACCAAGAATACGGAGTTCTACAAGCGGGAGGTAGGTCCTAGGGGTGGGTGGCAGGGAGGGGCCTGGGCTGGCTGACCCCCAGCCCAGGCCCCACCTCATAGGCCTCACGTCCTAGATGGAGCGCTACAGGAAGGCCCTGACCAGGGCCCGGGTGAAGTCTTCCGTCTGCCTCGAGGCGTGAGTGGGCTGGGGGGCCCAGAGCGCAGACCCTTCCTCTAGTGCCCTTGTCCCCACAGCCTCTCCCTGCACTGGCCCCTGGCACCGCCCCCCACCCCCTAGGTACCTGAAGTTCAGCAGCCAGCATGTGCCACATGACCCCATCATGTCAGGGTGCCTGCCCAGCAACCCCTGGGTCACAGATGATGACATCTACTGGACCATGAATGCACCCAGGTGAGCCCAGGGTGGGCAAGGGCACTGCTCCCCACCCTTCCTTCCCACCGGCCCATTCCCTGCGCTCCTGACCAGCCCCTCTGTGTCCGCTCAGCGTGACTGTGCCCACGAAGCTCCGCGTGGAGCGATGGGCTTTCAGCTTCCAGGAGCTCTTGGAAGACCCTTTGGGACGGGCCCATTTCATGGACTTCCTGAGGACCGAGTTCAGTGGTGAGAAGCCCCATGCCCTGCTCGAGGGCCCTGGGAGGGCACTGCTGCTGAGGGCCCTCCAGGTTTCTGCCAGCCCTGGCCACAGCTCGGGTGGGCCTCACCTGGTGTGTGGACCTCCAGCTGAGAACCTCAGCTTCTGGGAAGCATGTGAGGAGCTGCGCCACGGAGGGCAGGCCCAGGTCCACGCTACGGTGGATGCCGTGTACCAGTGAGTGCCAAGGGGCGGGAACTGGCCGGCGGCAGACGGGTGTGCGGAGCCCACACCCACTGGGCCTGTGTCCTCTCCCCCTCCCGCCGACACAGGCAGTTCCTGGCCCCTGGTGCTGCCCGCTGGGTCAACATAGACAGCCGGACGATGGAGCGGACCCTGGAGGGACTGCAGCAGCCCCACCGCTACGTGCTGGACGATGCCCAGCTGCACATCTACATGCTGATGAAGAAGGTGGGCCCTTCTCCGGGTGCAGGCCCGGAGAGCATGGGAGTACCCCGCCCCGTGGGGGCCAGCCCCTCCCCACTGCTCTCCAGTTCACACCTGCAGCTTGGGCTCTACCTTACAGAGGAGTAAACTGAGGCTCAGGAGTAGAGGGCTCGCCCCAGCCTCTTGCTTAAGGAGAGGTCCAGTTGTGATTTTAAAAAGTGTTTTAACATGGGGGCGCCTGGGTGGCTCAGTCTTTAAGCGTCTGCCTTCAGCTCAGGTCATGGTCTCGGGGTCCTGGGATCGAGCCCCGCATCGGGCTCCCTGCTCCGCGGGGACCCTGTTTCTCCCTCTCCCACTCCCCCTGCTTGTGTACCTGCTCTTGCGTTCTCTCCCTCCGTCAAATAAATAAATAGAATCTTAAAGAAAAAAGGTAATGGAAAATCCAAATGTAAACAAAAGTACAGTAAAACGATGAATGCCCACGTTTCTACTTGCCTGACTTCAAGAGCAGTCAACTCAGGGCCAGTCCTGACGCCTTGACCACCCCTGCCCACTGCCCCCAACCCCATGACTGTCAAGCCATTTTCAGACTTCTGTCTGTTTGTGTATTCAGGATCTTCTGAAGGATGTGGACCCCCTCCTTCCCTTTCCAGTGTGACCCCAGATGCCAGCATCACACACTGAACACGGGGTATTTACTTGGTGTCCTCAAAGAGCTGGTCAGGGTCCAAACTTCCCCACCCGGGCTCTGTGCCTAGTCTCTTGTTGCCGCTGTAACAAATCACCACAAACCCAGAGCCGTAAGACGGCGACTTTTTATTCCGTCACCGTGTGCCGGTCAGAAGTCCCACCCAGGTCTCCTGGGGCGGAGGTCAGGTGTGGGCAGCACTGGCTCCTTCTGGAGGCTCCAGGGTTTGGGGGGGGGGATCACGTTTCTTGCCTTTCCCCGCTTCTGGAGACAGTACCTTCCTTGGCAAGTGGCCCCTCCTGGATCCTCCTAGCCCTCAGTGGAGCATCTCCAGCCTGTCGCTCCGGTCCTCCCGCAGGCTCCTCTTTGGCTTTTAGGCCCCATGAGGACACCGGGTCCACCTGTCCAGTCCAGGGCATCTCCCCACCTCAGTCCCTTTGCCTTGTAAGGGACACGACCACAGGTCCAGAGGGTAGGGTATAGACATTTCTGGGGTCTTCTCTGAATGCCGCAGCCTATAAATATTTATCTCTTTTCTTTTCAGTTTGCTTGAATTTGGGTCCAAAACAAAGTACATATGTTAGAATTGATTAATAAGTTTCTTAAACCTCTTCTTCTTTTTTAAGTAGGCTCCACGCCCAGTGTGGAGCCAACCTGGGGCTTGAACTCATGACCCTGAGATCAAGCCCTGAGCTGAGATGGAGTCGGATGCTTAACCCATTGAGCCACCTAGGCGCCCCAAACCTCTTTTTTACATTTATTTGTTTAATCTCTACACCGAACATGGGGCTCGAACTCATGACCCTTGAGATCAAGAGTTGCATGCTCTTCTGACTGAGCCAGCCAGGCGCCCCTCTTGAATCTCTTTTTAAAGTACGGTTTTTGGTTTGAAGGAGTTGGAGGTCCTTTGTCCTATAGTTGCTCACAGTCTAGACCATAGTAACAGTACCCTTGCCGTGTCTTTGGAGTGTTTTTGTGTCACCTGTGTTTCTGAATGTTGGTAGTGATGTTTCAGACTTGATCAGATTCATCTTCAGTTTTATTGTGTGTGTTTGGTTTTGTGGACAGTATTTTTCCTCAGAGATGGTGTTCGCTGTGTCCTCCCATCAGGAGGTACGTGGGGCCCAGCCGTCTCCCATTTTGTGCCGCGAGCAGCCCCTGGCAGTTGCCGGCCAGCCCCGTGATTCCGTTCGGGTGCGGAGCCGGCCCGTCCCTGCCTCTGTTGACAAGCTGGCACATACTCAGAGGCGTCTCCCCTTGCCCGCTTTTTGTCGCGCAGTCCCCCAGGGAAGGCACAGTCAGTGCCTCATTCCTTATTTTCCACTTTTCAGAATAATGACTTGGACCCACCGTGTCTGCCAAGGGTGGTCAGTGAGTTGGAGATGTTTTTAATACCACGGTAAATCCACGCTCTTAGCAGATGGCGGGTTTCTTTCACTTGGTTCTACCTTGCCGTGCAGAGGGCCCCCCTCTCCCCCACACCGTCCCTGTCCCCGCGTTGGCTCCTGAGGCATTTGAGGTGTTCTGACATCTGCCGCGGCTTGTCCCAGGCTCCTCCTGCACCGTTCCCGCGGGCAGCCCTGGCCCTTGTAGGCTCTTTGGAAATCGTGACCTGCACGCCGGACAAGTTTGTTGTCACCTGGCTTGTTTGCAGGCCTTTCAGTGAAGAGAATTAGGAAACAGAAGTGTTTTAGGTAGCGTATATCAGGAGTTCATCCTGACATGGCTGATTCAGATGCAGGATTACACAGTTTCCTTCAGCTCTCTTTCATCTCTTTCCTCGCTAACCCGCTGAAAACCGTGGTTTGCAACAAGGCTAACATAATGGCTCACTCGCTTTTCCTCCCATTTCACTCAGGAGCCCCAGCCGAACGACACAGCACTGCCCTTTACGATGCACTCACCAACACTGGTTTACTCTTTTCTGGTCCTGGGGATGCCCCTTGAACAGCTCCGTTGTGTGTGGTCAGGGTGCTGTCACCCTCTGGATGCCCAGCTCACTCATTCCCCTTTACCTTCGATGTTCAGGAATTGATTATTCCTTGTTTTGTTTTGTAATTATGTAAAGTATCTACACAGGTTCAAAATCCAGTCTACAAACAAGGTACATTTCAAATAAATTTAGTTATGTCCCAGTCCCTCCACAGTCTTCCCGTCTTCCCGCTAAAATTAACCATTTAGAATTTAATTTATTTTTCTTTTAAAAATATAAACAGGTTCATAGATTTCTCTCCTTTATTGCATACCGTACCATTTTTCTCGACCTTGCGTTTTATTTTGCTCCATGTCCTCGCCCTCACTCTTGGGGTACACCGAGAACCAGGGGAGGCACTACTTGGGATTTCCCACTGGAGGTCCCATGGCTCACTCCTCTGAGCGTGGGCACTGGGCCCCTGCCCACCTTTTGAGGGTTAGTGGCCCCACTGGCTAGGAGCCCAGGTCTCCCTGCGTCTGTCTGACATGGCTGGGGCAGGTCTGGGATGGATGCATCCAGCACTGTCCACTCGGGGGGCTCTGGTGCTGGCAGGGGCCCCTGCAGTGCCAGGCTGGACCCCCAGCAGAAGCTGGCTGAACGCCGTCTCTTGCAGGACTCCTACCCGAGGTTCCTGAAGTCCGCTGCATACAAAGACCTGCTGGCACAAGCTGTGATTCCCCCAGAGGCCAAGAGACGGTGAGCTGGGCTGCGCCCTGTGCCCTGCGCCCTGGGCAGTGAGGCGGGCAGGACCCACACAGTCGCCCTGTGCTCAGGTCCGCTCTCCTCCACAGGGTGTTCCCGTTCATGCGGAAGCTGCCACATTCAAGCCCCAGCCCTGCTCTCCTTCCTGCCTCCACCTCTGGGGAGCCTGTGGCTGCAGCCAGTGGCCCTGAGTGTGGTGACGGGGGCACCTAGGTGGGCATAAAGCAGGAGGGGGAAGTGGCCATCCTCACCACTTGCCCGGGGTCCTCACAGCTTTGAGACCCCTGGTGTGGGCGTCCCCTAATGCCCAGAGGGCCCGCCTTGCCCCTATGCCCAAGGGCCTCTTGGGCTCCCACCTTTTCCCTTGTCAAGCCCTCCCCTTCCCAGAAGGGGCTGGTCCGGGTGCTGATTCCCGGGAAGGGGTGTCATTGAGCTTGGGTCACCTGGAGAAAGGGAGGATGAGGTGGGTCAAGCAGATCAGGCCACCTGAAGGCCCTGGCATTCTGTGGTCTGCAGTTCATTAAATCGCTGGCAAATATCAGGTGGCTTCCAGCAGGGGGCACTTATGAGGAAACGCAGGCCTCAGGGCAGATTTACCCACAGCCCTTGGCCCAGTGTGACCCTGCAGGGACCCCACACCATGTCCCCGGTTCCGCTGGGGCCGTGCTCAGCCTTCCGACCGGCCCAGAGCTGTCCTCATGGGTCTTGCCCACACCGTGGCTGTCACTGTGCGTGTCCCAGACCTCATCCCGCAGGGACACCTCCAGCTGGTGTCCTCGAGGCTGGAGCTCCTCCGCCAGAGCTGCACAAACATGACTCCAGTGTCATCACCTGTGACAACCGGCCCACGGCCAGGGCAGGACCAGGCCAGGGCAGGTGGAACCCTTGGGGAAGGGGGTGATGCCACACAGGGTGAAGTACAGCTGCTCCTTTGGGGTGCGGCTCTGTCAGGCCAGGGGGGGTGCCACCCATCCCACTCCCACCCACACCTGGCCCAGAAAAATAAAAGACCCTTGCCCTCACTGTGAGCCCACCCTATTGTCCAAATTGTGGACTGTGGGTTGAGTGTGTGGTGTGTGGTGTGCACAAGTGAGGCGTACATGAGGTGTATGGCACATGAGGCATGTGTGCGTGAGGCATGCGGTAGATGTGAGGTATGTGTGGTATGCCTGTGAGGCATGCGGTGTGCATGTGAGGCATGTGGTAGACGTGAGGCGTGTGCGTGTGAGGCATGTGGTGGGTGTGAGGCATGTGTAATGTGCGTGTGAGGCGTGTGGTGTGCGTGTGAGGCGTGTGGTAGACATGAGACATGCGGTAGGCGTGTGAGGCATGTGTGTGTGAGGCATGCGGTAGGTGCGAGTCATGCATGGTGTGCGTGTGAGGCACGTGGTCCATGTGGCTTGAGGTGTGAGGCGCGTGCGAGCTGGGCAGTGGTGGTGGACAGTGGGGGGAGTTCGGGTATCAACAGCATTGGTCACGGAGGGTCCCACATCAGTGGGTCCACAGCAGAGGGGACCCAGCTTTCAGGCTGGACTCAGGCTGCAGACTCGGTGGTCTTTGGAGGGGACAGTGGGGAATGCCGTCTGTGCTCTGGCTGGACAAGGACGCCTGAGTGCTCCAGGGGAGTCAGGAAACTGAGTCCCGGGAGGTCATGGGAAGAGAGGAGGCTCTTGGTGTTCAGTCCAGCATCTTCTGGCCAGTTGGGCCCTAAGGCCTGAGTCAGAGGAAGCCTGGCATGGATCAGAGCCCCAGAGGAATCGTGAGCCCAGCTGCTTTGTTTGCAAGTCCAGGCTGCACGATGCCCACCAGTGCAGTGCGGGCATCTCCCGGGCCTGCCTCTAGCTCCTGCCCACAGTCTCAGGACCTGCAGGGTGGTCCCTCCATGCACTGCGGCGGGTCAGGGGAGGCTGAGGGGCACTGCTATGGCCCTTAGGGGATTTTCATCTGTGGACTTGTCACTGCAGCCCTGTTCCTGAGGCCGTATGGGCTGGGCAGCAGCTTCTCACAGTGACGAGGGTCCTGCTCCTTGGCAGAGCGCCCCCCCCCAGGCTCCTGCCGCCTGGGCTGCTGCACCCCTCAGGGACCCCCCCTGCCTGTCCTGATGGGTGCACACCCATGTCCACAGGCTGGGTTCCTGACTTGAACCAGGGTGACCGGGGGTGGGGGGGATCTTCAGACCTGAGCTGCACTTACAGGCCATGCAGAAAAAGTCCTCGGGGCCCCATTTCTGACTGGGCAGGTGGGGGGCACCCCGAGACCCTCGTAGAGGGTCCCCCACCTCTGCCAGCAGCCTGGCCAGCACCAAATCCACTTTACCCCTTCGGAGCAGACACACGAGGTACACATGTGCCCTTTCAGACAGTGCAAACCATTTATTCCGGTTTCTTCCTGCGGGACCCGGGGTCGTCAGGGCACAGTGAGCCACAAGGAGCACCACAGCAAGGCACAGAGGTGAGTCCCGCATCAGGTGACACCAACTGCTGGGGGCGTCCGAGCACCAGGAGGGGGCCAGGCACCGGCCAGGGGTGTGGGGACCCCCGAGGGATAAGCAGCTCCAGTGTGTACTGAGGGGGTGCAGACTGACCGCGACGTGCGCCCTCTGGCCAGTTCCTCAGGACGTTCACAGCACACGTGGCCAGCACAGGGACGGAAACGCCCCTGGGGCATCCATGAGCAGCAGGACGGCCTCACAGTGCATGGCAGCCCTATTCCTCATGCGCCCGTCAGAGGGGAACCCCTGGGCAAGTTTCCACTAACCAGGCCGGAGGCTGGAACTGCCTCAAGCACCCAGCTGCTGCCCTGAGGCTCCCCCCCACCAGACCAACCGCGCTCCCAGGCCGCAGGGGGGTGTGCAGACAGGAACGAGGGAGGGGACTTCTCAGGATGGGGCTCTCTTCCCAGAGCCACGGTCCCTCCCGCCGGTGTGGACGAGGGTGGTGCTATAGGGCCCAGCAAGACTACGATGAAGGCAGGTGGCCTGGAGTGTGACCCCAGTGGGGCAGAGTGAGGACCTGTGGGGACGCGCTGCACAGGAGGGGAGAGGCCTGGGCATCCCCTCACCCCCGCGCGTCCCTGCATAGGACGGGAACCCCAGGATCGGGAGTAGGGCAGTCAGTGCAAACCGAGTGAAAGACTGACTTCCCACGGCGTTCAACCCCAGCAGCTGGATCCTCTCCCACATGCGCTGCCCGCCAGGCCTCCTAGGCCTCACTCCGGTACCGCAGGCGGGAGAAGCGGTCGCGGACAGCCTGGTCGCTGTCGGGCCCGCCCTCGGCCAGGCGAACCACCCTACTGCTCGGGACAAGGTCCCGCACCTTGTGCTTGGCCACAGAGACCATGCCAGGCGCGTCTGGGCTAGCCGGGCCCATCAGGAGGACGCAGGCAGCATGGCGGCTTGGCTCGAACAGGACCGCTACGGGAGACACGGGCCGTCAGGGCGCTCGGGACCGGCCAGAGACCAGCCAACAGCAGGCGGAGCCTCAGGCCCCGGGAGGCCGCACTCACCTTGGAAGGCAACGATGTTGGCAGAGAAGTTGGCCAGCTCCAGCAGGACGCCAGGCAGGCTGGGATGGAATACGTACAGGGTATGCTGGGCGTCTCTGGGCTCCTGGAGCAAGAACCACAGTGCAGCGTGAGGCTGACCCCACGTGTGCATCAGAGACACCAGTGTCCTGGGCCCAGGGGCGGGGCCATGCTGTGCTTGCCCTCTCCAGACACTCGGATAGAGTGGCCCTGCCCACAGCTGTGTCCACAGGGTCCTCAACGGTGCAACCACCTTCTACTCCCCTCCCCTAGCCTGACCCTGACCCTTCTGAGGCATGCTCCCAATGGAACTCTGCACCTACCTTCCCCCACGTACCCCCGTTTCTTCCCAGATCCCCATCCTCTGCCCCGAGGCAGACCTCAGCCCCAGCCTCCCGTGTGGTCCAGAGTACCTCATCCCACCCACAGTCTCATGGCTTCCGTTTATGTGTGCACACCCAGTCACCCAGTTAGCTCCCAGCTGCCTCAAGGCAGGACCCAAGGCTGGCCTCTGGTCTCTGGCCCTGGCCCAGGTGTGTCCCCTTAGTCCATGCCCTGCCCGTACTGTCTGGTTGGTGCCCATCAGCTCGTGGAGGCCCCAGAAGAAGAAGGCTGAGCGGTGGTCTGCGGTTGGCAGGCTGGCAGACTGCGGATCCCCGGAGAGGCCCGGGAGGGCCTGTTTCCACAGGACAGCCCCGGTGCTGAGGTCCAGGAACAGGATCTGGGAGGGAGGGGGACAGCACGGGGTGGGGGGTCACAGGTGGGGCTTGCACAGGCCCATGGGCCCCAGCCAGGCCAGCCCTGAAGGAGCTGCACCCCAAGGGCACCCAGGATGTCTCGCCAAGGCCCCGCTTTTGCTAGCTCAGCCTTCCAGCACGGCCCCGTCTGCTGTCTCGACTAACGTCCCTCAGCTATGAACAACGGTGGGGCCTCAGAGGGGGTGCAGCCAACCTGTCTGTCAATGCCGGTTCCGTTTTCAATGACTACAGCCAAGGTGTCAGGTTTGTAGTGGCCGAGGATGGGTTTTCTGCAAGGACAGGGCAGGAGCGTTCACACCGGGCCTCTGTGGGGGGGTCCCTGGGAACAGGTACACCAGCCCTCTGCTCCTTGGCTGCACCTGGATGGGGCCTGGACGGGCAGCTGAGGCCAGGGTGGACGGCGTCTCACCAGCCCCTCCGGTGCAGGGCAGCACCAGGGGACAGGCAAGAGGCCTCTGGCTGAAGCACACAGACGTCCCCCAGCCACCCGAGGCCTCATCCCAGGGCTGCCAAAGGACAGGTTGTAGTGCCCGGCTGGCAAGCACTGCCCGGTTCCTGGAGAAAGACTCGGTACCTCAAGACCTGGGCTACGCTGAAGGTCCACCTGGGTGCCAGGTCCTGCCCATCAACCAGCACACAGGCCTCTGAACTCACGAGGAGGAGGTCCTCACCAGCCTTCCCTGGAACATTCATCAGGTAGCGGATGGCTCCCGGGCTAAGGGGAGAGAGCCAGAGGGATGTGGCAGGGAGGCGGGCTGCCTTCAGGGTTAGCAGTTTGCCCCATGCTCCCTGCTTCTCCAGTTTAGGGTAAGACCAGACGCTGGCTGTGTGCAGAACGCGCCCCCGGCTTCATCTTAGCTGCTGCAGGCCCACTTCCCGTGTCTGAGCCCAACGGCAGGCAGGGCCGTGGCCCTCGCCCCGCGGCCACCCCTGCAGTCCCCCATCCTGACCAACCTGTGCCACAGCAGCCTGGGGGTGGTGGCGTTCAGCACGCCCTCCCAGTGCGGGTCGCTCCTCAGTGGGCTCCCGTTCCCAGTCGCCTTCTCGTGGAGACCCTTCACAGAGCAACCACAGAGGGAGCTCGCTGCTGGAAACCCAGAAGAGCCTCAAGACGCTGCTGGCCGGGAGGAGGCCACCCGCTAGCCCTGCTTCCGGGACACACGGTGCCCTCCCTGAGCCTTGGGCGCGACACACTCTGGCTTTCTGAGCTTGTCAGTGACGAACTCGTGTCCGCCCTGCAGTCCCCGGCTTCCCTGAGAGGAACAGTCCCGGGAACGGCAGGCGCCACATACCACAAGGAAAAAGGATGTAGTGGGCACCCGCCGGGGAGACGTGCAGGAGGGAGCCCGTGGTCCCGCCCACACCAAGGCTGCCGCGGCGGCCAATCTGCTGTCCAGTGCTGCCGGAGTAGAGGTAGCCACCAACCTGTAACACAGAGAAGGGGGTCAAGACCCTCCTGGTTCGAGGAAAGAATGCGTTGAGTTTGTGGAATCAGGCATCTGCACACCCTCCCGGGGACGTGGGCAGGCCCACGCCAGCCACAGGGCCCCGCGCTCCGTGCTGCAGCGGCACCTACGGCCAAGCGCACGCTCTGCCCAGAAGCTGCCCAGGAGGAACAGAGCCGCCCTAGCGTGCCGGTCAGCAGATGCCAGGAGCACGGGGCCCCGGGCACACCCCCCGACAAATGGTCAGACCCACGTTGTGCCCAGGAAGTGAGAGTGGATGAGGGGCAGAGAAGAGGCCTCACAGTGAGTGGGCCACGGCGACCCGGGAGGGGAGCAGCACCTCCTTCTCCTCCTGGGTGAGAACCAGCAGGTCTGGGGCCCCGTCAGCATCGACGTCGGGCAGCTGGAGTAAAGAGCTCAGGATGGAAGCATTCCTTCCAAAGCTGCTGGGGTGGCTCCACAGGGTTTCGCCTAAAACCAAGCACAACGTCACCAAGTGCTGGCTCCAAATTCCCTTCTGCTGTGGGCTGGCAACGGCACAGTGCCCACACTGAGAAATGGAAGTGCCCACCAGCAGGAGGCCAGAGGCCAGTGCCGAGTGCACACCACTGGGCATCCAAGTCGTCCCACGCCAGAACGTCAGATGCGTCGCTTCTGGAACCACAAAAAGCTCCACCTTCCTGTTTTGCTTCTCCTGTGTCTTCTCATGTTTGGCTCTAGAACATCTTAGGGCCAACACTGACCCTCCCGCCCGGATGGACAGGGCCTGATGCTTCCCAAGCCCCTCAGGACCCCTGACTATTGCTGAAGTCACAGGTGGACCCTCGGCCTCCAGGGAGGCCCCAGCTGAGTCCTGCACACAGAAGGTGGAGAAGGAAGGGACGTGCTTATGGCTGGACCCACGGACCAGAGGCCCTGACAGAACAGCTTCTTTTGTCCCCAGGTACGATCTCATCCACACCCTTTTTAAGACTATTTCCTCTCTTGAAATATTTCCAGCCTGCTCTTTGTTTTCCTCTACAGCCCTAAACCCACGACTGGTAAGGGAAATAATACTCCTCAGCACACCCAGCGTCAAGGCACAGAATTCCCTAAGCCGCCGGTGAGGTCTGGGGGCTAACCACGGCCTGTTACATGGAGGCCCAGACACGAGCACCCGTGCATCCAGAGCCCTGACAGGCCCTCCCCCGGGGGCTCAACCAGACGCTGGCCCGGGTACTGCAGCCGCCACCGAGCCCCGTCTCTGCTGGCCCCACAAGCACAGTGGAGCCGGGAGGTGACAAGACAGGGTGGAGGGGGACTGTGAGGAGGCGGCACCCCTCCCTCCTACCCCCGGAACCTTCTTCCCCGTCTTGTGCGCTGGCCCCGAGAACCCAGGCTGAACCTCCTCAGAGCTCCCTGGTGTGGAACCTCCCGTGCGGAGCCGCCTACCTGTGAACAAGTCCACAGCAACGAAGGAACCAGGTCTGCCCACGAGGATGCAGGCAGAGGTCGACCTGCCGCCCTGCAGCTGTGGGACGGAGCACTGCACGAGGGCCCCGTCCTGGGCTGCAGGCCTCTCCCAGAGCACGCTGCCGTTGGCCCCGGACACGGCGGCCACAAAGGTACAGGGGGAGGAAAAGCCTGGCGGGGAGAGACCCAACTCTGTGGGGCAGGTCAGCCCCTCTTCCCCACACCCTGCTCCCGGGCCCAGCCCTGACCGCTGGCCCCGCAGAGACCCTACTGCTGGCCCCATGGGGTCAGGAGCTGCGCGGGGGCCAGGGTGCTGGGACCACGGTCCACACCCTGCTGTTTCTAGGCCTCCTGGGAAGGAATGGCAACGTTCCAGTTTCCCGAAATTCCACCAACCGCTTCCCCCAAAGACAACAGAAGGAGAGGATCCCTCCACCCACAGGAAGTTCCTCCTTTTCCAGGTAAAAGCAAAATTACCTTCATCGGTGCAGGATAGGTTGAAATTGTTGCTGCCATTGGTATTTTTATAAAGAAAGAGAACATCTTGGATCCTGTCCCTGTTTATGTCTTCTGTAGCCAGAAAGTCATAGGTGACTGAAAAAGAAAATTGCAGACTATACTCCCGCGGCCCCGCCAGGCTTAAAGGCCTGGCCAAGCCCGACACCATCTACTTCCGTGCTCCCTGAGGGTCAGCACCAGTTAGCACCCGCCAGCGCGAGGCCGCACCCAGAGCGGTGGCGTACAAACACATGCTCGCACAGCTTCTCTTCGGGAAGGAGTCCCTCCCTGCCTGTCTGGGTCCAGGAGTCTGCACGCCCAAACTCGTAAGGGTCGACGTCTCCCTTTCATTCAAGGACTCAAATGATACGCTACAAGTGTTAACACGAAAACGAACTAAGGGGCGCCTCGGTGGCTCAGTCGGTTAAGCATCCGACCCTTGATTTCTGCTCAGGTCACGATCTCAGGGTTGTGAGATTGAGCCCCACGTGGGGCTCTGGGCTCAGCATAGAGTCTGCTTGTCCCTCTCCCTCTGCTCCTCCTCTATCTCTAAAATAAATAAATAAAATCTTTAAGAAACAAAGAGAACTCAAAATGGATCAAAGACCTAAACTCAAGAGCTTCCTAGAAGAAAACATAGAGAAAAATCTTCATGACGTTGGATTTGGTAATGATTTCTTGGATGTGACACCAAGGCAAGGCAACAAAAGAAAAAACTGACACACTGGAGTCCGTCAAAATTTAAAGCCTTTGTGCATCAAAGGACACTGCCAAGAGAGTGAAGAGACACCCCACAGAGTGGGAGAGAATGTTTGCAGATCAGGTATCTGACAAGGGACTGATACCCAGTATCAGCCTACCCCTCCAGCACAAAGACAACCCAAGGCAAAAATGGGCAAAGGACTCAGGGATGATCAACATCACCAGCAATTAGGGAAATGCCAATCAAAACGGTAATGAGACATGACCTCATGCTCTTTCACCCAAAATAACTGAAAGAAGGGACTTGGTCCCCATACAGCCGGTTCACTGCGTCATTCCCAGCTGCCGAGACATGGAAACAAGCCAAGTGTCCATTGACAGAAGAATGGATAACCAGAGTGCAGTCCACGTACAATAATTATTCACCCGTAAAAAGGAAGGAGATTCGGACGCCCGCGACAGCACAGATGAACCCGGAGGGCGTTGCACTCAGTGAAATCGGCCGGACACAGAAGGGTAAGTCTTAAATGACTCTGCTTCTGCGGAGGCCCCTGGCATAGGCAGACTCAGAGGCCAAGAGGCTCAGGAGGAGGGAGAGAGGAGTCGGTGTTTGCTGGGTGCCCTTTCTGTTGAGACGATGGAAAGGGGCAGAGGTGACGGTTACACGGTGTTATCGATGTCCTGATGCCAGTGAGTTATGCTCTTTAAACGTACATGTCTATTTCACTACGATTTAAAAAATAAATCAAACGCCAGCCTCAGGACTTCCAGAATCATGGAGGGAAGAGCTTGGCAAATCCTCTCCCTTGAAACAACAATATAATGAGACAAATTGCCAAAAGCAACCGTATCAGGACTCTGGAAACAGACACAAGGCATGCCACAAATCGAGAGGTGCCTCCTGAGAAAAGCCTCCTGACATAAAACAAGCCATGGGTCAGGACGGTCGGCGTCCGCCATCCTACTTATGACTCCTGCCGGCCTCGCCCTCCGCGGCTGGGCACTAGACGGGTCAGCTTCCCTGCCAGAGGGGGACGACGTGATTTGCAGCCAGATGTCCAGGGCTACGGTGCTCTCCCCGGCAAACAGCGAAGGCCAGCTCTGAAGCCAGACACAGGCTGGGATACGGGGCGGAGCCGACAACAGTCAGGAGGACCAGCCAAAAAGTGAACGGATCCAGGACAAACAGAAACTAAAAGAATTTGCGATCACCAAACCAGCCCTACAGGAAGTATTGAAAGGGGTCCTCTAAGCAAAGAGAGAGCCCAAAAGTAACATAGACCAGAAAGGAACAGAGACAATCTACAGTAACAGTCATCTCACAGGCAATTCAATGGCACTAAATTCATATCTTTGAATAGTCACCCTGCATGCAAATGGGCTAAATGCCCCAATCAAAAGACACGGGGTATCAGATTGGATAAGAAAAAGTGAACGGAGAGATCCAGAAAATGAGATCCGGAAATGAGACTCTAGGTCCCCACATATCCCTGGCAGCCCGAGGCTGCAGGAGCCACAGGGAGGAAGCCTGTTCAGCCCCAGAAAGAAGCAGGGACACGCTGTAACCGACAGAGCCTTGTCTCCCGAGCAAGTGGCCGGACTCCAAGATCCACGCCACACGACTTTCTTTACGTGATGTGTCCACAAAAGGCAAGACTGTAGGCAGAAGGCAGCTGGTGGCTGTCTGGGCTGGGGGTCGGGGACGATGGATATCTGAAACTGGACCGGGCTGACAGGTGCACAGCCGCTCCATAAATGGACGAAAAATCATCGAATCGTACACTTAAAACAAGCGAACACTTTGACATATAGATTACACTTCAGTAAAAGCTGCAAAAAATAAATAGAGAAACATACGTTATTTCTGTCTCTCAAAATTAAGAATCAAATTCTGAATAAAACTGACAGCGAGGCTTAAATGAGAAATTCCCTTCACTGCACGAGAGATGCCTGCCGGTGTTCACAGCCGCTTGTGCTCGCTGTGGGCGCTCCCACCCTAACAAGGAGGTGAAGTGTCCAGAGAAAGGCTGACTTCGGTGGCTTTGCATAGAGGCCAAGAATCCAGACCGCCGCCTTCATGAGGGGAAACGGATTTGCTCAAGTCCCGCTCAGCCGACCGCAACAGTCACAGAGCACTTGAGGAAACCAGACTACAAAACCTGCAGTTTTCATAGCTCCCCACAGCCTTCCCTCTATCTCTTCTTCCAGCTGCTCTATTTATTTTTTTAAATTCCAAAACCTAACCCAAGGGGCCCCTTTCCTTTATCGGCACAACCCATCCTTCCTAATATGGAGAGCAGGCCACTGTGGTCCCGTTTTTCCTGAGACTGCTCGGCAGCTCGCCGAAGTCCCAAGACCGTGGATGCGCCATTGGCAGCCACTCAGGGCTGATTCTCAGTCACCCACCACCCTAGACTCGGGGACACGATGCCACCCCCACCTCAGGGACAGGGGTTTGGGGCACACCTGCTGCATTGTAGTCGATCCTCCACACCCCCTGGGATGCAGGCCGGTCCGGACACGGGATGATGAAGGAAACCACGAACACTACAAAAAGGCAGACAAACAGTGAAAGAAAAAACGCCACTGTGCGGCATCGGGAGAGGTGGGGCTGCCAAGGTGAGCCTTTCAAGCTATCCTCCGTTTTCGCTTGGTTTCCCAGATTCTCCTGCAGTTTCTTGTCTTCATTCTTCAAGGGGTGGATTTCGGCTTCTAGGTCCTTGCTGTCCATCATCACGTGCACATGCCAGAGCTGGTCACTGCGTCAATAAAACAGGGACAGTCACACAGCTGCCGTCCCCGGCTGCCTTCCAGCCGTGCTCAGTCTCCCAGCCTGGGTGCAGCCATGACTGCGCCCATCAGCCCAAGAAGGAAAAGCTAAATGAATGTTTACAGTGTCTTGGATGCCACCCAAGAAGGTCCTTTTGATGGCAAACAGCTCGTGTGCAGCCGGCAGGCAGGGGATATTTCCACCCTTAACACCCCGTGTCTCTTGCCTGCTGAGGCGGGGGCAAGCTGAGGGAGCGCTGGGCAGCGCTAGGGCCGTGGCAGGTCATCAAGCCATGCATTAAACATTAACTAAGCTGCCCGGGCACAGTCTGGGCACGCCTGATCCACTGTCCGCCAGCCTGAAGCACAGACAGGCAGGGGGCCCAGGCGCGAATGTGGTGAAACCAACACCCTCACAGGGGGACCCCCCCCCCGGAGGATCACGGGCCCCTGGGGAAAAGTGTCAAAAGTGAAGGCGGGTTCTGGTGTCCCAGCCTTGCCCCACGTTCACTGTGTGAAATGAGGCAAACCACTGCACGTGACCATGCCCCATTTCCTGACTTGTAAAAGGAAATCAGAATCTATTTTAGAAGGCTGCTTAAAGGATTAAATTTGTAAATTCATATAAAGCCCTTATAACAGCACCTGACATACATTAAGCACTCGAACGCTAGCGGATTGTTACTAATGATGAGCTAAGACGCGCTGGATGTCCGTGGAGGAGGAAGCGGACAGCGGGAGGACGGGTCCCAGTGTGAGTGCCGCCGGGAGCCCTGCCTCCTGCTGGCGGGACGTGGGTGACGTGCTGAGCCAACCTGGAGGGACCAGCTTGGAAAATGAGGCAGGGCACGCTTCTGAAGATGGCCAAGCCACAGGACAGAAAGCACCTGGGTCCCTCCCTGGCAGCTGGAAACCACCATTCATCCTTGGGTTCTTTATCATATGAGAAAGACAGGACTGTCTACCTGGTGTAAGGCAAGATATCTGTCATCCAGGTCCTTTTGAAACACCCAAGCCGTGTCCTAATGAACACAAATTCTATCAAGAGAATGGAAAGGACTACGTGCGTCTGAGTGAGTTATGATCCTTGTCTGCCCAAAAAAGAAAGTCAACAGTTCCTGACTCAAATGGGGACATGCCTGAGACCAGATGGAGGCAAAAACGAGAGGACATGGCCGGTGGCTCAGGGTGGCCCCTCTAAGGACAGGTTAAGGAAGACGGAGGGAGACAAGAGACTGCTATTTTTTTCTATAAACTTTTTATTTATTTATTTATTTATTTATTTATATTTTATTTATTTATTTGAGAGAGAGAATGAGATAAGAGAGAGAGAGCATGAGAGGGGGGAGGGTCAGAGGGAGAAGCAGACTCCCTGCTGAGCAGGGAGCCCGATGTGGGACTCGATCCCAGGACTCCAGATCATGACCTGAGCCGAAGGCAGTCGCTCAACCAACTGAGCCACCCAGGCACCTTCTATAAACTTTTTAGTTTCTGTCTTTAACTATTTTTCTCTAATTATTTAATTAAAATAATTCACTTAAAAACCTGTGTGTAGCCTCCTGGATGGCTCAGTCACTTGAGTGCCCGACTCTTGATTTTGGCTCAGGTCGCGATCTCAGGGTTGTGAGATCGAGCCACGCTGCGCAGGGAGCCTGCTTGGGATTCTCTCTCCGCCTTCCCCTCTGCCCCTCCCCTCCAAAACCCTCAAAACCTGTGTGTATACCTCCATTAGGGTAGCTTTCATTAAAATCAAAAAGTGAAAGATGACGAGTGCAGGTAAGAATGTGGAGCAACTGGGACCCTGTGCGCTGCTGGTGGGAACATAACCAGGGTCAGGGTAACAGAGAGTTACCCTGTGACCCAGCAACTCCACTTCCAGGCGTACGCCCGAGGGAACTGCAAACAGACTCGCGTGCAAACCTGTAAACAAACGTTCTGGGCTTCATTATTTGTAAGACATGGATACACACAATGGAACAGTACTCGGCCCTAAAAAGGCATAACGTGTGACCCCTGCTATGGCAGGGATGAACCTTGGGAACAGCCGTGCTCAGTGAGACACCTGGACAGAAAGACGCCATCTATGTGAGAGGGTCACGACAGGCGAATGTGTAGCCATAGGCAGCGGTCGCTGGCGGGGTGTGGGGGGGATGAAAATGGCGGCACTGTGGCCGGACTAATGTCACTAACGGTAACTTTTATGTTAGATGTATTTTACCACAATTTAAAAAGAAACCCAAACGCATCTTTGTGCATTCCCGTTCGTGCTGACACATGAGTGTGGAGGTCTGGGAAGTCGGAAGAGGCGTGCCCGTCCAAGGTAATGAGTTGGACCCAGGAGGATCAAGCAATGACTCATGAGCAGGGACCTCATTAAACCCGAGCACCTGACGTGGGGTGGGGAGGTGGGCGAGGGTGTCTGGAGGAGTAAGTAGGGAAAGAGCTGCAGCTGGGCGAGCAGGAGAGCTGCTTATTCAGCAGGTCTAGATGCTATGTCCCCAAGGAGCAGACGTCTGACATATTTAGAACACGTACATCCCTTTGGCAAAGGAAAGAAAACTGAGTGAGAAATCGGAATGCTAAAATTCTTGATTTTTTTTTTTTTTAAGATTTTATTTGACAGAGAGAGACACAGCGAGAGAGGCAACACAAGCAGGGGGAGTGGGAGAGGGAGAAGCAGGCTTCCCGCCGAGCAGTGAGCCCGATGTGGGGCTCGATCCCAGGACCCCGGGATCATGACCTGAGCCGAAGGCAGACACTCAATGGACTGAGCCACCCAGGTGCCCCAAAATTCTTGATTTTAAAAGCTCTGTCTTTAGGGGCACCTGGGTGGCTCACTCAGCTGGGGTCCGACTCTTGGTTTCAGCTCAGGTTGTGGGATCGAGCCCCGCATTGGGCTCCTCACTCAACAGGGACTCTGCTCGAGATTCTCTCTCCCTTCCCTCTGCCTTCCTCGCACATGTGCTTGCACTCTCTCTCTAAAATAAATAAATAAAATCTTTATTTAAAAAAAAGCTCTATCTTTAAATTTCTCTTACTTCAGAGCTTTAAAACACTGGGCAGGAAACTCAAGGTGTCTGAGCTGTAGCAGCCCTCATCTTTCAAAAGCACGGCGTCCGCCAGGGGACAGTGGGAAGGCACCCTAAGACTGTCTATGCAAGAACAAGGGGCTCCATTCAAAGTGACACCACTACTCACACCCAGCCTGTGGTCCTCGTTTTCCCAGACCCGCCTAGTGGAAAGAGCACGAGGGGGCGAGCTCAACACTAGCTCTCTCTTCCTCTCACTTTCTCTCTAAACCTAGTAAATCTATTTACTTGAGAGAGAGAGAGCACACAAGCAGAGGGAGTGGGAGAGGGAAAAGCAGACTCCCCACGGAGCAGGGAGCCCGATGCAGGGCTCGATCCCAGGACCCTGGGCTCATGACCTGAGCTGAAGGCAGACGCTTCACCGACTGAGCCACCCAGGCGCCCCCATAAAGTAATATTTAAATAGCAACCTTCTCCGCTGTTGTTTTAAAAATGTAGCCAATTGACCATTTTGACCTTTTTTTGTTTTTTAAGTAATCTGTGCCTAACGTAGGGCTCAAACTCAGGACCCCGAGACCAAGAATTGTACGGCCACTGACTGGGCGCCCAGTGCCCCAGAACACATGGCATCTTTAAACAAGTGCATTGAAAGGTCTGTTACACGCAGAACTAGTTCGATAACCATTTGTGATCGATCATAAGTCATGACTGATCAGGACTGAGGTAAGTGCATGGTGTGAGTTACAAAATCACAGGGAGAACATTCTATCGAACTCCAGAACCTATATATACTTTGGGGCCCTAAGAGCTGATAGTTTTATTTGTAACTTTGCAAACTGCTATTTATGTATGAAACAAAGTAGGAAAACATACGGAGAAGGGGTTATGTTTACAGAGGACTTCTTAAATGTGTGACTTTTCCTCAATGTAAACATTTTTAAATAAGTTTTTTAAAGATTTTTTTATTCATTTGAGAGAGAGAATGAGATAGAGAGAGAGCATGAGAGGGGAGAGGGTCAGAGGGAGAAGCAGACTGCCTGCTGAGCACGGAGCCCGATGTGGGACTCGATCCCGGGACTCCAGGATCATGACCTGAGCTGAAGGCAGTCGCTTAACCAACTGAGCCACCCTGGCGCCCTCAATGTAAACATTTTTAGTGCTTACTTAAGGACGTCAAGTCAAGGAGTACAATTCCAGTGTTGTGCATGTTGTCAAAGACAAAAATAAAACCACTTTGGTGGCTTAAAAAAAGAGAAAGATTATTAGCACCAAAATAAAAGAACCCTAAATATGCGTCCAGATGGTCTAAGGGAAAACGCGAGTAGACTTTGAAGCTGGGTTTGGGAGCAAGCTCTACCACCTGTTTTGTGGCTTTCCACAGACTTAATAGAAGCGTGATTTCCTTTGTGTAGCTGTGGGTGTTTCGTGCGTCTCGTGCAGGTGTTGGGAAGGTTGTAGGCAATGTCCGCAGAGCCCGGGCTCCGTGTGCCTCCCTCTGTCTCTGTCACTCCTTTCTTGGGGTCTCCATCTGCGTCACCACCAGCCCGTGCCGCTTCTACTTTCTCTAGACCCTAGGAGACCCGATTCATCTCACTCACCTCCTCTTTCCTGTTAAAGGACCTGCTTCAGGCCTAGAGCTGCCCAAGGGGCCAAGGGTCTGTGCTTGACATTCTGAGAAGCAGCTTCGGGTCTTGGCATGAAGATTCCTTGACAGCCTTCCAGTGAGGTCTTGTGACCTCCCACCCCCCAGGAATAGCCTCTATAAGGGGCCTTCACAGAGCCGTCCCGATACCACCGACGGTTTACAAGATAATTTAGGTGGTACATAAATGAACATTTTTATTTCGGTAGTTACGTATACATATTTTAAAGATGTATTTATTTATTTGAGAGAGAGAGAGCGAAAGCGCGTGTGCACAGAGAGAGAATCTCCAGCCGACTGAGCACGGAGCCCGATGTGA